TGCGCCACTCGCAGCTTGTGCTTGTCGCTTTTGCAGTATCATCGAATGAATTTTCATTTTGGAATCTTCGGCTGACTGGGTGCCCATTTGACCACCTGAATCCTTCACATTAACAAAATGTAAAATTTTAATCGTTACTGGCAGCCTGGTTTTTCACCAAAAGCTGGAAATTTTGTCAGAACGATCGTTTATCAAAAAATCCAAATATATAAATGAACTGGATGTTGGGAAAGGATGGGGGAGGTCATTCGCTGCAAAATGCACCCGTTTCTGAGTTTGTGTAAGGCAGAATAATTCTCATACCCACTTGCGACGAATTTCACTTTCAGGACCAGAATTAAGACCACACTTAAAAGTAGAATATCCCAGCGAATTTTCAGCCTCGCACACTATCAGATAAGCGAAATAGCTATTTCACTATATTTTTAAAGTGCCTTAAGTCGTGGCGCAAGTGCAAAACGGAACTCATTTTAGGTATACTGTTTTCCATACGGACGACAAACATTCTGACAAAATTTCAGCACTGTTTTCCGCTAGTTTTCGAATTAGTATGGTTCCAGGTACAAACTTTTATGTGACTGTAAGCGCCACATTGCGCGACAGCTGAATTTGAAATCTTTAGCTCAAACAAGCACAAATAATATCACTGCAAAGTTTTTGCATTCTGTCTTGCCTTCTCGCCAAAGAAATTTGCATATTTTTTTCTGGGGTCCGTACGCGAGATCTAGGCGCACATGAAGAAAGATCTTAAAACGGGAGGATGACATGCGGGGTGGGTATACGTCCGCAAAATTTTAGCCTTCCAGCTTTCATCTGGTTGCTGAGTTAAAAATGGGTGACAAAGTTCACTCGCTTCTAAACACAAATGCACACACAGATGACTTCTCGACGACATCTGTTTTTGCTCGCTGTAGCAGCGTTATAGCGCTGCTAACAAAAACGCATAAAAGAAACGAATGGCTTACCAGGCTGACCAGCACCAGCAGGTCCTGACGCAAACTGCTGCGGACCTCCTGGTTGTTGGGCACCAGTTACGGTCCAGGAATCCGGATAGCTGGCCTGAGGCGGTGGACCAGAGCCGGCCATTTGTTGTTGCTGTTGCTGCTGTTGTTGCTGCTGCATTGCGGCTACTGCTGCAGCTGCAGCTACGGCCGCTTGATCTACAGTTTGTTGCCGCTGCTGACGTTGTTTACGCGTGGTGCCTTGAGAACGTGTTGAGAGGCCCGTTGTTTTACGACGTCCACCTACAGAAATAACACACTGTAAAAAGGCAAACAAGCAAGTTAGCTGGTGAAAAAATAAACAGGAAGCTGGATGATGACTCATGTGTTTGCTTTTGTATTGAAAAGTTTTGAATTTTGTGTCCACAATCTCTAATTTTCTTTTTTTCACACATGCGATTATCGCTACTTCTGTTACGCTGCGTAGAACCTTACGTAAGAACTCTCTCGCACGTCTGACATGAATAGAACACATACCTCGTGCACCTCTCGGTGACGCGCTAGTCTGGCCACGTTCTGTTAAATCTGGCAATGCCGCCATTGGGCCAGTTTGTCCGGGAAACATGATTGCTGCTGCACCACCAGATGCGCCACCGGGAGCTGAAGCGTCCGCACCTGGTGGTGCACAGCCAGGTGTATTACCACCAGGCTGATAACCAAGTGCGCGGCCCTGTGCCATCGGTCCCAGTGCAGCACCCATATCCATGGCTGTTGAAACTGGTACATTCTGAAACAATCTACTGTTAAGGATAGTCAAAGACAGTCTGCTCATTGCACCATTAGTCTCTTTCTAGCATTCCTACGCCACTTCTATGCAGAAGCTTTTAATGACCGTAGAACTAGCAGCTGAAGTGGTTGTTGAAGTAGCGGTACTGGAAGATACATGATGCAGTGTTGCCGGCGTCTCCGAAACATCCATCATTGGCGGCGACAAATAAATATCCAAGTTTGGTGGCCTAGAAGTTTATCGCTGTTAGCATTTCAAAAAAGACCATTCTGCGCTGGCAACTGTTCAAAATCCGCCAGCGCACTAATTGTTTTTGTGAATTATAAAATAATAAATTGCAACGCGCACCAGACTAGCCAGTGCGATCATGCGTTTTGTGCAATTCAGCCCATCGAGCGATTGCCTATTAATGATTTTCATGCTTTGTACTTTTTTTTATGCAAATATAGTTCAAACACTGGAAAACAGTTAAAAATTTCACGCACCAGCGCATGAAAGCTGAATTTGAAACCTTGAACGGTGAATATCTTTCCGTGATTCCCCAGTTAATAGTTTACTCGCCAAAATTTCCACTAGTCCGTAGC